CATACACACACACACAACCCGGCACCCCCCCCAAGCGAGTCGCACGGCTCCCGGTCGGCGGGGGACGGGGCGGGGGACACCGGGAATCCCGGGACACCAGTTCCGCCGGCGGGAGGTGGGAAAACATACTCAGGGGAAAAGAAATAAATAAATCAAATTAAATAAAATAATAATAAAAAATCACACAAACAAACAAAACCCCAAACCAACCAGCTAAACAGAAAAAAAAAAGGCGAAACCAAACAAACAAACAAAAAAAAAAAAAGCAAAACCAAACAACAACAAAAAAACCACAACAAAAAAAAAAAAACCAAAATTAAAAAGGAAATGCAGAAGGTGGAGAGGAGCAATCCCAAATCCCCATTTTCCGCAGCCCATGGGGGCGCGTCGCGGCGCCGGGGTAACGAGGATGCGGGAAATTCCCCACAAATAGTTTTTTTTGGGTGGGTTTTTTCTTTGGGGGGTGGTAGCCCCGCGCAGCAGGCGCGGACAGTCGGTACGCGGGTTGTCCGGCCGGGGTGACTCCGCGGCTGGGACCCGAATCCGAAAGGGATGGGAGACTCCAGCAGGAAAAAAAAAAGAAAGAAAAAAAATTTTAAAAACAGTTTTGACATTTTAATTGAAACCTTTACCGCTAATATATTACTTGGGTGAGCGCAATTAGGTTGTTTTTCGGTTGGCTGACAGCTTTTAAAATATTATTTCACTCGGGAAATAAAAGCTTCATCTCAGATTATAGGTGGGTATTTTTGGATTTACGTGATTTATGGTCACCATGACAACTAATGTTGCGTGGTGGCTCCCCCCCCCCCGCTCGGGTTTGGTTGCGGGGGGGTTGAGTTTTAATCGCAGGCGTATATGGAAATGCTTTTCCTTCGGGATGGTGCCGTGCCCCGCTTTTTGGGGATGCGGGGAGCGCGTGTCGCCGCTGCGGGATGCGGGGCTGCGGGATGGGGAAGTCGCGGGAGGGCGGTGCGGTGGCCGGTCCTCCTCTTCATCTCCCCCTTCCCTGGGGGGGAGAGGGCCGGGAACCCCCCCCCTCCGCCCCCCGAGTGTCGTGGGAGAGAGACAGGGGCGGGGAACCGGCCCTGCGCCCTGCCTGCGCGTAAAGCGCGTAAAAAACGCGCTTGGGAAGAGCGAGTTTTCGTTTGGAAGTCGCGGCGGGATAAACCGGTGTTATCTCCGAATTAACTGAAAAGAAATGATTTAAAAAGGGAGGAAAAAAGAAAAAAAAAAGGAAAAAAGAAAAATTAAAAGGAAATAAGAGAAAAAATAAAAAGAAAAAATGAAAAGAAAGAATAAAGGGGGAAAAAAAAATAAAATGAAGGAAAATAAAGAAAAGAGAGGAAAAAAGGAGAAAGAAAACATAAAATAAAATAAAATGAAAGAAAAAAAGATAAAGGAAAGGAGAAAAAATAAAATTAAAAAGAAAATAAAAGGAAAAAAAGGGGGGAAAAAGAAAAGGAGAGGGGGGAAAGGGCTGGCCTTTGAGAGGGTCGCATTGCTTAGTGGAAAAAGGAAAAAAACGAATGGGGAAAGCCACCGTAACCCCTCTCCATCCCCGGGTACAGAACAATTTTGGGAACAAACCAGCCTCGACGTGGGGGCTGGAGAGGGGCAGTGCCCCCCCCTCGCAGCGGGGCCGGGGCGCGGCCTTTGGGGGATGTCGTCGGAGGGGGGGGAAGGTGGGAGGAAAGAGGAGAGGGAGGGGATGATTTCTGGGTGCAGGATCAGGGAGGTAGAGAGAGGTTTAAGAAGAAACGGGGATATGATTGGTAAACAAATTGTGGAGAATGGAGCTGGATTCATATTGACTTAGTTATAGGTCATCTGCTGCCGGTGCAAAGGGAGGAAATATTTACTTTACACATATACTTTATGATCTTGGGGGAATTAGAGGAAATTCAATAAGAAAACGGCTAGAATCATTTTAAACCCCCTATTTAAAAGACTTAAGCAAATTAGAGTCTTATCAGATTAAAATCCACTACAAATGTAAGAGCATTGTCTCCGTCGAAACGCTGTGGGGTCTGAGGGAAGAGATTCTTTGCCAAATCTCAGGGATAAAAACACGTCATTTAAACACCAGATAATGAGCAGAATGTAAATTAATTTAACCTTCTTTACTAACAGGCGGCGAAAGTAATATGTATGATTTAGCGATAAGTAAGATGGCGAGGGATGATAACGCACCTCGAGCGAGCATCAGCGGCTGAGAAGGACCCTCGAGAAGGGATGGGGGGGGGGAAATAGGGGGAAAAGCAACGGGGATAGGGAAAAGTTTGGGCTTTGGGATGTGGGTGCGGAGGGCCACATCAAGGGGAAGCTTTCGGTAACTTTTCGGTGCCGGTGACGGTGCGGAGGAGTCGGGAGATGAAGGCGCAACCTCTAATTTTCACCCTCCCGTCGGGCTCCCCCGGGGGGGGCAGGGCTGGGGGACGGGCTCCTCTACCCCAGGAGGTCCCGACCCACGGGGGGAAAGTGGGGGGGGTGGGGGGCAACCTCCCTTTTGGCTGTTAGACCCTCTGGAAACAGCCCCCGCTCCTTCCTCCTCCTGCCAGAGCCGGGTCCCCGGAACCCTCGCCCCCGGGGCCGCGGGGGGGCGAACCCCTCCCTCCGCCGCTGCCGCCCCCGCGGCTCAGGGGGTCAAGCCCTGACCCCCCTCCCCAAAAAAACTAGGGAGAAGGCCGTGTAGGACAGATTTGTGTGCGGGGCCCGGCCGAGCTCCGCAAACTCCTTTCGACGGCGCGGGTTTCAGGGGGGGTC